TACTGTCCATGTCTTCTGGTTCTGGTACAAGCTGTAGTAGGCTATATGAGATGCGCTTGAGTCCTGAAGTAGGGTCTTGGCTTCCTGATCTGCAAGGAGTATAAAAATTTTTTAAAACGTGATCAAGAGACAATGGATGGAAGGGACGTACAGAATAGAACAGCAGACTCATCCAAGAATTACCATATTACTCCCACCATTTTTAGGAGTGTGGCTCACTTATATTAGAAATTTCTAATTTCTAATGTCCAACTACAGAAACACAGTGAAGCACACGGTGGCCTGTGAGAATGTAGCACACACATACACACACACACACACACACACACACACACACACACACACACACACACACACATTTACTGAAAGCCTGAATAATATAAGAAGTGGCCCTGAGGAATACTCCTCCACTGCTTGTGGGAGTGCAAATTTGTACAGCCACTTTGGAAATCAGTATGGCAGTTTCTAAGAAAATTGGGAATTAATCCACCTCAAGACCTCACTATACAAATGCTGGGCATATGCTCAATCATACCACAGGGATACTTGCTCAACCATGTTCATAGCAGCATTATTCGTAACAGCCAGAACCTGGAAACAACTTACATGCCCCTCAACCAAAGAATGGATAAAGAAAATGTAGTACATTTACACTATGGAGTATTACTCAGTGGTTAAAAAACAATGACATCATGAAATTGGCAAGCAAATGGATGGAACTAGAAAAAAAAATCATCCTGAGTGAGGTAACCCAGACCCAGAAAGATAAACATGGTGTGTACTCACTCATAATGGATATTAGCTGTGAAATAAAGGATATCCAATGATCCACAGACCCAGAGAGACCAGGTAACAAGAAGGACCCAACGAGGAATGCATGGATTTCCCTGGGAAGGGAAAATAGAAGAGATCTGGGTAAACTTGAGGCAGGGGTGGGAGGTGGTGAGATGGTGGATAGGAACATGAGGAATCAGGTTGGGCAGGTTGCGGGCAGGATGGAAAGGGGGAGCAATGAAAGAGATACCTTGATAAGAGGGGCCATTTTGGGGTTAGGGAGAAACCTGGTCCCAGGGAAACTCTCAGGAATCCACAAGGATGACCCCATCTAAGACTACTAGCAATGGTGGAGATGGTGCCTGAACTGGCCATCTCCTGTAATCAGATTGGTGACTATCCTAATTGTCCTCAGAGAGCCTTTATCCAGTAACTGATGGAAGCAAATGAAGAGATCCACAGCCAAACACTGGTCCGAGCTCCAGCAGTCCTGTTGAAGAGCGGGGAGGAATTGTATGAGCCAGGGAAGTCAAGGTCACGATGGGGAACCCACAGAGACAGCAGACTTGAGCTCCTCGCCCAAATTGATGCAGGGGGAGGAGCTTGGTCCTGCCTCAACTTGATGTGCCATGCTTTGTTGACACTCATGGGAGGCCTGCCCCTTTCTGAACAGAGAAAGAGGAGGAGTAGATGTTGGTGGGGTGGGGGATAGTGGGGAGGCATGAGGAGTAAACAGGAGGAGAGGGGTGAGGGGAAACTATGATTGGGATGTAAAACGAAAGAAAAATTTTAATTAATTAAATAAAAAATTTGAAAAAAGAAGTGGCCCTGAACAAGAGGCCCAGACTTATACATAAAAAGATGAAGTTGGCTCATCAGCAGAAGTCTTTGGACACTAGTTCTTGGTCACAAAAGAACAAGTTGTTTCTGTCAAGGCCCTTCAAGGTAGATGCAGGAAAGTCCATACATAGGCTAGACCAATCTCCAAATGGGGAAGCACTGGCAGCATCTATGCAAGATTCAGAGCTACCTCCTGGTCCAGTGGAGAGATGAGTGGGTACCACCAAAAGCGTAGAGTGAAGACTCATAGCTTACTGTGCTTTGAATGTCCTTTTTGTCCCAGCCCAACTATTTCCAATCCACTAGCACTAGTGACCTCAGTGATCCTGCCTATCAACTGTCTCTGTCTCCTTCAGTTCTGGATGGTGCTAAGGTCAAACTTCCCATACAAGATAGCTGCCCTTGATAGGTAGCCAAGCTCCTCACAGACATGAGCAGGTTCCAGGCCTCCTAAAGTGGGAGCATGTGAGCATTGGGGATCCTCATCAGTGCTCATGGAAATTTAGCAGTTCAACCAAGAGCTTGCCTTTTAGCATCCAAATCCTAGGAAAGCGTATTGTGTGATTATCCCCTTATTGCCCCTGTCAATCAAGGGGTTCGTCCCAGGACTCAGTAAAGTAGATCCCTAAATGGCTTTCACACACACAGTATGAGATACTGTATTGTTGCTTCAACAGCTGTATGTTCGTGAATGGAGAAGGCCCTCTCCTCAGGTTTTCTGCTAAGAGATTATGTTTGAACAAGAAACCATAATATCATACCACTGGCATTTAAACTATGTGGAGAGGGTTCATGTGTCTATGCAGGTGGACACACAGAAACCAAAAGATGGCCTCAGATGTCATCCCACAGGCACAATTCACCTTTTTTTTTTTTTTCAGAATCAGAATTGTTCTTTAATCAGAAAAAATGAAGGGCAAGTCTTTGTACAATTCTACTTAAAATGCTTTTTCTAAGTACAAAGTCTTGGTTTTTTTCGAGGTGTTTCTCAAGCATTTCCCTCATCCCTTGATCTCCAGTTGGAATGCCTTACTCATTTCTCTCAGCAACAATAGTTCTATGTCTGTTGTTTCATGAGCTTAAAGCAAATTGTGACCATTGTTTACAAATGTGTCTCATTTGGATATAAGCGTCTTAATAGTCATGGTAGCATCATGGCCTCTAATTATTCTCAGGCTAGTGACCAATATTAATTAATCATTCATTCATCCAACAACTATTTCATGTCTGCTGTTTAATGCTCTGTGATGCATCAGAGGGGAAAATCACAGAGAAAAAAAATAACAACTAAAATTTAATGATATAGAAAAAGATTTCCAAACTTGGAAAGCTCTGAAGAAAATATGAGAATATTGAAGGAGACTAAGTTTGCTGAAGGATTAACAGAAACCTCACTGTCCAGAGCCGACTTATTTCCACAGCCAGTGTGCATGCTCCTGGGTGAAGGCATTCCTCTTCTAGTGCTTTGACCATTTTATGTGATCTGAGACCCTGTGGTTCATATATGAAACAGAGTCCCAGTGTGAGTAAAGTAAATCTAATTGGTGTTTATTTATAACAAAGCATAAATACACAGCACCCACATGATGGCTCACAACTATCTGGAACCCCAGTCCTAGGGAAGCTGGTGTCCTCTTTTAGCCTCAGTGGGTACCAGGCACACAAATGGGGCACAGAAATACAGGCAGACAAAACACTCATACATATAAAATACATACATTCTATAAAAAGAAAAAGAAACTCCAATCCATTTCTACTCTTATGAGTAGGACATAATGCATCTGACAATTTTAAAAACATTTCATTTTAAAAGTCAGATTAATTCTGAAATAATAAATTCCTGGTGATTTATCAATATGACTCCACAAATTTAAATATCCCTCTAGTATGTAGATCTTAATGTATCTCAACATAGTTTCAGCCCTGCTTGGTTCAAATCCTGGCTCAAACTGATATAGGGTTAAAAAAATGAACATTTTTTTCTGGGTCCCTGAACATCATTCATCTGTCTAAACACAATTTATCTATTTATTTACTAATCTGTAGTGTGCAGGGTTAGAAGATGAGCAAGGTGGTCTCATCGGTACACTAGACTAACTTTCTAATGACCTGAGTCCTCCCTTTTAAAGGAGAAATGGTAACATCTGCATTAGTTAGCTTTTCATTGCTGTGACAAATGCCAGTAGGAACTAACTAAAGAAGGAAAAGGTTTTCTGGCTCAAGGTTTCCAAGATTCAGTCCATGGTGACCTGGCTTCTCTGGCTTATACCTGAGGTAATATAGAATGCATGAAAGAGGAAGATGCTCTCCTGGAGGCATCTGGGTGAGGGGAGGAGGGATAGATTATGATATAAACTTCCAGGGCGTGCCCTTAGTGTGACCTACTACTTCCAAATAGAGCACCTCTTGGTTCCTTACTGCCTCCCAATAATGCCATCAAATTATGAGCCTATTAATGGATTAATCCACGGATGGAGCTAGAATCCTCATAACTAGTCATCCTCATCTTCAAAGTCCACTAGTTGGGGACCAAGCTTCTAACATAGGAGACTTTGGGTGACATTTAAGATGCAAACAATAACATCATTCATCTTACAGGGTTGGAAAACTTCAAGTAATCCAGCATGTAAACATGTGGAATTCAATCGAGGATAATTGTTACTATCTAGAACTTCACACAGTGTTTAGCACAAACAGTCTCAACCTATACTTACAACATTCACTCATCCATTTATTCTTGACTGCCTAATTGTAGGTCCTTCACTGCTTCAGCCCCATATCGCCCTCCCACCACTTTCCTGTCCTTAAGGAATGATCCCATTGAATCTGCAGGTTATTGACTTTCAGATTGAGATTGCCTCTCCAACCAGGCAAGGTCAGGGCACAGGAGCCTACGTTTCTGCCAGGAGTTTTTTGGAGGCTATCTTATGGTTCACACACAGCCAAAGGAACAGTATCAACAGTTAGCAGCACACTACCCACCACCGGTAGATTCTGCATTTCCTCTGTTCATTCATTAGTTTATCCTCCAAAGTCCCTACTTCAATGTGTCCAATCAGATGACTACAGCATGGTGACATGCAGACCTTCATAGTAACTCAATGACTTTCCTTTCTCTGAGAGTTGCCTGATCTTTTCTTCATTGCATGGTATTTAAAAGAAGATCAAAGTTGCCAGAATACAATCTGTCTCAGCCATATTCATTTGAACATATTTACATTTACATACATTTAAAATATGTACCTTCTATGAAATGGATCCACTCCCAAATCCAGAGTTGCTTGGAGTCATTAGCTCACTGCCGGAAAACCTAAGAATGGTTCCTAAAGGTGCTTACTTGTTGGATCATAAAGCATAACTAATGTTTAATACTATATTATTTCTAGATACCATGAGAAGTTGTGTGGCAAAGCTGTTCTTTACCTGTTCCTTAAAGGGTCATTACTGCCTGTACAGCAAGTCCAGTTTCATCCTCATCAGCCAAGCACCCCAGCCATGGATCCAGATCATGTTCCTCTTCCAACAGGTGTGTATAAGTCAAGCTCATTGGGCTCCTGGATGAGCTGCTAGCACATGTGGTTATAATTACGTTTATTGAAAAATTTTCAACTAAACAATGAAGATTTTATGCCAAAATTGCAACATGAAAAGAGATTCTTATTTAAAACTGCTCACTAGAAGCATTAAATTTGCACTTAAAATATAAAGGTAGAACATATAAAGGTGAGATGTCAGTACCAGAAGAGATCTTAAACACCACTTTTATTGATTAAGGAAATTGAAGGGCACAACTCAGATCATTGAATCTCTAATTCAGTGATCTTTTCATTGTTACCTGTGTGTTGCAGAAGATTAAAGATGTGTTGCATTTGTTTATGCTGTGGAATATTTGTTTAATGATGCAAAGATGTATTCAGTCTTTTATGTTGCATTTGTTTAAATCTAGGAAGCTGTGTTACTTTGCCTATCTAAAACACCTGATGGTCTAATAAAGCGCTAAATGGCCAATAGCAAGGCAGGAGAAAGGATAGACAGGGCTGATAGGTAGAGAGAATAAATAGGAGGAAAAATCTGGGAGGAGAAGATCTAGGGGTGAGAGGAGGAGGATTCCAGGGGCCAGCCACACAGCAAGCCACGGAATAAGAAGTAAAGAAAGGTATATAGAATAGAGAAAGGTAAAAGCCCAGAGGCAAAAGGTAGATGGGACATTTTAAGTGAAGCCAAGAAAGGCTGGCTAGAAATAAGCCAAGCTAAGGCCAAGCATTTATAAGTAAGAATAAACTTTCATGTATTTATTTGGGAGCTTGGTAATGGACCCCCAAAAGAGTCAAAGAGTAAAAAGCAACCAACAACATCTGTGTTTTGAAAACAAAATGGGAAATATTTGCAGGTAATAGAAGGGTGGGCAGAATTGAAAATGCAGGATCTGAGTGTTGTAATATGGTTGAAAATCAAGGCAAGTGATTCAACCATATAATTACTTCAATTAATAAAATATTTCTATAATAGTACCTACAAAAATCACCTGAGGCAGCGAGGTGGCTCTGATGACCTGAGTTTAATTCACTGGATCCACACGGAAGAAGACCAGCTTCTGCAAGTTGTCTTTTGACATGCACATCTGTATAACATAGCATGCACGTGCCCATAAACACATAAATTATTAATTAATAAATAACATTTTTCAATTTAATGGAATATTTAAAAATTACAGGTGAACAATGCCTTTCCTAGACATCAGAGGTTATCAAATATAAAGCCTAGTGCCCAGTATAGGTTACCTCTTTTCAAATTGTTCGCCTGTTAGGTCTCAAAGATAACTAACTATTACAAGCTATTGCTGTTACTTGTGTTTCCTTCTAAAACAATGGTTTTCAATCTTCCTCATGCTGTGACCCTTTAATACAGTTCCTCGTGTTGTGGTAACCCCAATCATAAAATTATTTTGTTGCTACTTCATAACTGAAATTTTGCTACTGTTATGAATTATAATGTAAATATTTTTGGAGATAGAGGTTTGTCAAAGGGGCTGCAACCCCACATGTTGAGAATAACATGCTCTAGAACATCATGATAAAACTGCATTGCTGAAGACATCACACACTTGAATCAAAGAATATAAAGAAATCAAGCTGGTACCAACTTGGATGCCTTGTCCCTACTGGCAAGTTTTTACAATGCTAAAAGACAGTGTACATGCTACAAGGGGATAAAAGTAATTATCAACCTTACCCAACTGTAAGTTCTACAAGCTCCAGTAAGTGGCCTGAAAAGATTACACACTGGCACAATAGTGGCACAAATATAGGAGTAACCAAATAGCTTCTGGTTGGACTTAAGGCCCACTCCGCAAGATGGAACTCATGCCTGGCATCATTAACAGGGTCAAGAACTCATGGTTAGGTAGAGCACAGGCCCTCAGGGAGAAAAGTACCACTATTTTTCTGCTAAATGGGCATAGTATTAAACTGTCTCCTAATGACTTAGTGTTATACCAATAGAATAGTGCGTCACCCAACCCTTATCAAAGAAGCTTCTTTTTACAGTAGATGGCAACTAACAACTAACACAGAGACCCACAGTTGGCCAACATGTAAAGCATAGAAGCCTAGGGTGCTCAGCCCTACATGGGACATTTATACTAAGTGGGACATTTGTACCATGCTTCCTCCCAAGGCAGGAATCATCATGGATGAGAGGGTATAAAGATTTTAAGAGCCAAAGGTAGTGGGGTGACCACAGCAAAACAGGCACAACGTAACAGCTGCACATCAATTTATGGTGGCTGCAACAGCTTACACAAGATCAGGCCAGACAAAATCACAGCACAGAGTTTGGAGATGGTCACAAAGCCCCATTCCTAGCTGAGAAGCTATTGGCGATTGATGTGTGCTTGGAGAGAGTTAGCGTTTCCAGGATGCAGCCCCCGAGAGGCTACCAATGCTCCAGGGGGTGATCAAATACCCATGAATATAGTGGGTTTACTAGGTTTGAAAAGAAAAGACAGGACACGTGAAACTGGGAAGGAATTGTAGTAGGAGAATAGAGGAGGAATTGGAGAGGAGGGAATAGAGGAGTGGATTAGATCAGACACCTTATGTGCATACATGAAATTTTCAAACAAAAAATTCTAAGACAAGGAAAAATCAAAATTAAATAAAATTTAAAAGTCACAAGTCAAAATAGTCTAACATTTCTTTATGAAGTCAGGCTTCTTGAGGAAACAATGAAATGTAGTCCTGAGTGCATCATAGTCATAAAATGTAACTACAGTAAGGACAGGTGGAAAATCTGCTGGTTTTTACTGTGGTTTGTCTTCTTAAGAACAATAACATCTTGAAAAGAACAGCTCAGACTTTGGTGTGAGCCAAATTGCACATAAACATAAAAAGTAACATTCTTTTTTCTTATAATAATAACATTAATTTTCCTTCACTCATATTTTTTCAAATAGTTTTCATCAGTGATTTTTGTATTTGGCTCCATGTTGGGCTTTATTCTTAACTTTCTGAAAACACACCAAGAAAACTTTTTTTTCATTCTTTCAATCTTGTTTTATTGATAATCTGATTCTTTCTCTTCCTCTTTAAGGAAATCCCCAGAAAGTATATCTTTGTAATGTTTTCTTTGAGTTTATCTTATTGTAGTGCTTTCTCTTTGTTCATATCTATGATATATGCAATCTGGGTAAATCCTGGCTTGGGGCAAAACCACAACAAACTTTCATTTGTTTAGTAAGTACAAAGCCATCACTGGTCTTGTCTACTTGGCCAACTCTCCTTGTCATGTCAACTTCCCACATTCACGGAGTTTTCAGACTTAGAATCTGTTCCTCTTTGGATTAATGATTCATTAAATAGAGCCCTGCTCTTCTTGAAACAAAACGTCATGTACTGTAATGACTCTGAAAATAATCAGAAAATCCAGGGTGTGTGCACAAAGTAAATTTCAGTCAGTTACTGGCTCATAAACTTTTAAAATCTGTCATTTGGGCTAGAGAGATGGCTCAGCAGTTAAGAGCACTGGCTGCTCCCCCTGAGGACCCAGGTTCAATTCCCAGCACCCACACAGCAGCTCACAACTGTCTGTAACTCCAGTTCTAGGGGATCCAACACCCCCACACAGACATACATTCAGGCAAAACACCAATGCACAGAAAATGAAAGTAAATCATTCCCAAAAAAGTTAATATATTTTTTTAAAAGTTAATAAAAAAACTCTGTCAGTCACTAATTTGGGGTCCACAATTCTCCACTTTTCACAGTCAGCACAAGAGGACACTCACTCATTATGATGACAATCATGAGATTTTCCTAGAGAAATATTTAGTATTTCTCACTCACTAAGTAGAAGGTTGTGTACACAAACAGTCTAGAAGGTCTCAGTCATTGTCATGAAAATATAACTTACAAGCCAGTCTCATTACTGAATCTACCTCATGATAACAAATAACATTTATGGTATTGTATGTAAATAAATGTTATTTATGTCACTTATTGGTGTTCTATATATTTTTACAACATTCTTCTCTTAAATTGATTTGGCTTCTCACATCTGTAAATGGAGCTTTCCAATATATCAAGGACTACTAGTCACATCATAGATTAGTAAATATGTAAGCATACATTTAACATGCCCATTGAAAAGCTGATTCTTGTTGGCTGTACTGAATTCTACTTAAATGTTGATTTTTTTAAATGTAATGTCTCATTGACAACACAAAGTTAAAGCTTTAAGAATATTCACCTATTTCACATTTTAGGATGAAGAATGTTTTATTTTTCCTATACTCAATCAGAATGGTCATACTGCATAATTATGTAATGAACTCTAGTGATTGTTTGATCTCTATTCTTCATAATCCACTTTGTATATAAATAGACTCTTTTAAACTCCAGTTTTAACTTTATGCCTTCATTCTCAGATCTTTGATAAATTCAATATCAATATTTATATTTATCACTTTCCCACTAAGTAATGTTATTGGGAAATCATTAAGATAGCATTATATTACAAGCTTTAGGTACATATATATGCAAGAATATAAATATTAATTTAAAATTTCTTTTAGAAACTCAGAAGTGTGAGCTAAATCATATATTTGCTCTTCAGTATAGATTTCTGGTGTATCACTAAAAGTTATATTAACATTCAAAGCAGGCCTCCATAGTACCTTGGAGCCTGTCAGATTGTGTCATTGGGCCAAGAAGTAATGTAATGTCTCCATCCTTATGCCCATGCAGAGCCTATTTCCTGAGCCTCTGTCCATTCAGAGTGGGTCTGTGCAGTTCCTCAAAGCCCTGTGGGAGAAGACGCAGGCCAGCGGAACCCACAGCTTTGAAGATGCCATGACAGAGTCCACATTTCCACAGCAGAAGGTAAATGCTTTTCTCCTCACACATGTTATTTTAAACCAAGATGCAATGTTGTGTTTAAATGGTTTGCATTTGTTCTTAACAGTTCAATTTTCCCTTCTTTGTTTCCCTTCTGTTATTATCAGAAAATACTTATTAAACAATTACTTTTGGAATTTGATCTTGTTGTACCTACCTGTAATCCTAGCACTCAGGAAGCCAAAGCAGAAGGATTACAAGTTCAAGGCCAAGCTGGGCAATATAGTGAGGCCTTATGCCAATAATAGCAATCACCCTCGTATTAGGAATACTATCACCCTCATGGTAGACTGAAACCTCCTTAGCAGGCAGCTGTACCAGAAAATATATCACAGGGCAGAATAGACCTGGCTTTTGGATAGAGGGCAGGTGTGGTACAGGGACTCTGGTGAGCTCAGGGTTTCCTGTGAGAAAAGCCATGGGGCTGTGTGGAGCAGGGAATGCTTACTGTAAGCCTGGCCAAAGACAGGAACCATACTTGGAAGGCTGGATTATTTTGGGGCTGATGAAGGTGCCATAGTTTGAGGTAGTATGGACACTTTCAAATCCCCCAATGTCATTAACCCTATTTAATGTGCTGTGTGATAGAATAAAGAGGTGGGTATTGAGGAATTAAATCATGGGGTAAAACCCTTCCTTGTAAATGCCATTAAGGACTTTGTAGAAGGGATAGGAAGAACCAGATAAGCCCATCTCTCCTTCTGCCATCCACAGAGGAGGTAGAGTTCAGTGTGTACTGGGAGCAGCCCAAGCTCTTACCACACATCACACTTTCCAGGGCCTTGGTCTTAAGTATCCTGGCTTCTGGGACTGTAAGAAATAAATTCTGCGAGTGTCTCAGCCTAGAGTGTTTTGTTGACATCAGCAGATGAATAGGAAGGGTGGCACGTTTGTGCATTGTGGTGGTTGAAATGCTAGCGTGGTTGTCACAGAGGAAGGTTTGACAGTCACAAGGTAGCACTTGGTATCTTTACCGAAGACTGGGTCACTCAAGAGACGATGCATGTGGGAAATGCAGATGGCTACTGAGAACTTCTTTGACCATTGCCGGCTTCCCACAATAAGCCGTGTCTAGACCAAGGACTCTGATTATTGGTTTTACTCTTAAGAATTCCCAGTGATGGGTGTTGGATGCCAAGTGGGAAATCCAGAATTTCTGATATATTTGATCATTGTCTCTGACCTGATTTTTCTTTTAAAAATTGTACATTTTCATGGAGTATTATGGGATACTTAAATACATGTATATCTTGTATAATATTCAAATTAGGATAAATATCTCAATTTTAAACATTTAGAATTTTTGTGAAAAAAAATCAAAATCTGTTATTATAGCTCTTTGAAATACATATACACTGTCCACTATCTATAGTCACTCTACCGCACAATGTGTGTCTCTTGTCTAGCTATAACTTGGTACCATCTGACCAACCTTCCCCTTCTCTCCCTCCACTGGTTTGCTTTTGAAAAAGGAAATAAGCATGTCAATATTAAGTAAAGTCAAACAAGAACTTGGGAGATGTCTCCTTGGGTAAGGGCTCTTGCTCTACAAGCAAGAAGGCCTGAGTTCAAAGCCCCAGCATCACACATTTTAAAAGGCATGGCTGCATGTGCTTGGACCCCAGGGACCTGGGGGCAGGGACAGGAAGCAGATTCTCAGAGGGCTGCAGGTAGCCAGCCTCACACAAACAGTGAGCTTCTGCTTCAGTGAGTGACCCTGTCTCAGGAATGAGACAGAAAGCAAGAGAGGAAGACATCAATGTCCCCTTCTGTGCCCTGCATGTCCGTGCACTAGCATGTACACACACACAATGCATGTACACACACACAATGCACGTACACAGTAAGGAAGTACAAACAAGTGGCAAATCAATCCAAACCTGTTACATTGTGAAAATATCTCTTACATGAGGGATAGCCAACAGAATGCCTAAAAAAACAGAGGAATATTCGACTTCTGTTCCCCTGTCTTTTGGCTTTGGTTTAAGAATATGACACTTGGTATTGAGAGAAAAAGGAAATCCCACAACCATGTCAGCAGAAAGTAAATGAAATTCTTTGCATATTTCACTCAAATTTTCAACTGTTATATTATGCTTAAAGACAATGCATCCAACTCTTACAAATTTTTTAAGCATTAGCTATTTTAACTGGAGACAACAAGGAAATTGAAACTTGGCACCTACTTCAAGTTCTAAGAGGTTAAAAAAATTACTTGGCAATCAGTTTTGTACTTGCTATTACTGTTATTCATGTTCTTGCTTCATGCCAATAAATATCCCTCCAGGGAAAAGGTAACTGTAAAGGCAATTTTCGGAAATGTTCTAAGTTTCATAATTTGTTTTATTCATGAGAAAAGAAAAATGTTGGTGTCTGGGATGTACGTGGTGTGGCAAAGCTGTCTGTCCCAAAATTTCTCAATCATACTTCCTTGCTACCATTCTCCATATTCAGTTCAAAACAGCTGAGGCTTGTGCAGGGACTTCTCTGTTTCCACAGTATGCTCCAGAATATTCACAAACACTAAACATACATACACACATACACACATACACATATACCCCATGCACCACACACACACACACACACACACACACACACACACACACACACACACACGTGTATGCACAGTGGTATGGAAGTGATGGCATTTGTCTCTCTACTTCTGAACTTTCACTCCAGTCTAGAGAATTCAGGCTCTCAAGAGAAGCAGGTGCTCGAGAGAAGACACATCTGAGAGAATGCTTGATGATCTAGAATGTGACTCTAGTATTTTTAAATAGAAACTTGGAATTTTAGAACTGAGGTCTGTCACCAAGATTCATGAAATTAAGACCATGTATGATGGCATACACATGTTATCCTCCCACTTACCTGGAGCCTGAGACAATATCAAATATCTGAGGGCAGAGATTTCCTCAAATTTGCCATTTCATTTCCGTGGTCATACTGTACTTGACCCAAACAATAAGTGTCCGTTGAGCAAACAAATACTGTCTTGTCCAAATGTTAAAATTGGAAACAAGGGGACCTGTTGAAAGTCAGTAGCAGAACTGGAGCTAGACTGCATACCAAGGTGACATCAGGGCTGTCACCAATGCATCTGGTTCTTCTCTCGTCTGGATACAGGCGAGCATCCCGTTCTTGAAGCATGGCTTGGCTTCGAGGCTTGCCTCCGAGGCTTGCCTCAGCCCATGAAACATGAGAAGAGTTCTGTGTCACCCCAGTCCTAGACTTTCAAAAGTCAATGTGAGTATCTGTGTTTTCTCCCTTCTCCTACCCTGGTGACTAGAAGCAATTACGGATACTAGGTTGACAGAAGGTGGAAACAGCCTGGGATTCTGAGCTCTGAATAGACAGCTGATCCCATCACTTGTGTTGCATGAGAAGGACCAACATTTTGTTCTGTCGAGCACTGAAATTTCATACTGGTTAGAGCAGCATTCCTTACCTTTCTTCCTCTATACACATGACTGAATAGCACGACCTGGGGTTAAAACCTTCTTTTGCCACTCATTGGGGCCTTTGTCTCTGTGCCCCAGTTTCCTTTTGTGTCTTCCCCCACCTCCCACCACTGCCTCTCTCTCCCTCATTCCCTCCTCCCTTCCTCTCTCCTCCTGCATCCCTCCTCCCTCTTATTCTACCCCTATTCCTGTCCCTGTCACTCTCCCACTATACAACACAATTCAAATCTGCCTTAGATGCACTGAGAAAAATTCAGAGTGGAGATAGAAAGATTAATTTCAAGGACAATCTCTTAAAATTTTATAATCTAATAAGACCAACCTTATCAGAGAGCATTCTCCAGATTTCCAAGAATTTTCAACATAAAATTCAATGCATTTATCATTTACACATTCTTACCAGTCTCACAGAAGAATTGAAGTGTGACATTTTTGTATAATGTTATACTCCAAAGTTACAAAACTATGAGAAAAATGTTAGTATTATTTGTATGATGCATATGTTCACTGATTCAAGTGAAAAAATATCATCGCTAGATATTCATGGCACAAAAAAAATTAAATGAGATCCAAACTTTTATTAACCATATATTTTATATCAAATGTTATTGTCTGTGTCTTAGTTATGCTAGACCATGACCAAGGCAACTTATGGAAGAGAGAGTTTATGAGGGCTTACAGTTCTAGAAGGTAAGAGTCCCTGACCATCATGGCAGAGAGCACAGCATCAGACAGGCAGGCATGGTGCTGGAGCAGTAGCTGAGAGCTTCTACTCTTATCTGCAAGTAGGAAGCAGAGACAGAGACACTGGGAATGGTGTAGGCTTTTGAAACCTCAAAGCCCACCCCCAGTGACACACCTTCTCCAACAAGATCATACCTCCTTATCCTTCCTAAACAGTTCCACCAACTGGGGTCCAAGCATTCAAACATATGTGCCCTTGGGATCCATTCTCATTCAAACCACCACAGTCTGTCTCCCTAATGAGATCTGTCTTATACAAGAAGTACACTTTGCCCCCAAAGAATCACAAACATATAATGTCATTCAATTATGTGTGTTGACTGAACAAAATGAATGAGCAGTGTTACTAACTAGAAATAGAAATATTTTAGAATTATACATATTTGTCTAACAAAAGAAAATTATGCTTAGTGATGAAATATTAGAGATGTTTTTATTTAATTTTCAATTAAAACTAGAATATACACTGCAATTTAATATTTAGTCTTTTTGAAAGCATCAATATAAGAACATAGATTTTGTCTGTCAGTTCATATGATCCGAGTATCCAAAGAGCCTGCCTGGCTCATTGAAGCCATGAAAAGTAACAATGGCCTACTGAACAAGTAGAACACCAGATAGAAATAACAAGTAGACTCTTACAAATAAGGAGTTAAAATCAACAGTACACTGATATAGTGTAGAGATAAAGAATCCTTTTATAGTCAGTTGGCGGCAGATGCTCATGCTCCCAGTACTTGGGAGGCTGAGAGACCCTACATTGCAAGTTCAACACCA